AGTGATTCTCGATCAAAGAAAATAGCAAATTTGTTGGGACCCTCATCATAATTGTCAGGTATGGTGATGGAGAATTGATGCTAATGCCACTGGATACTGACCAGAGGAGGGGAATAGTGGAGCCACGAGTCAGAATAAATTCTGTCCCATTGCTAGTTGATTCATTACTCAGTTAATTGGTCCATATGGGTCACCATGTGGTTCTGATAGTGGAGAAGGCACTATGACCTGATCCATAATCATAAGGTCTGCAAGGAGGCTGGTAGCCATGAGTTAATTGCTGAAATCTTACGTATTTTCTCCTCTTGTGTGGTTGTGAATAATAGTTGATGTTGTCAAAACTTCTCCTGGGGCACAGCAGTAGATTCCTCTAGATCAGAGGTGAGGAATGATGACCGCCTTTATGACTTGTGGAATTCAACTTCTTGAGCCAGCCAATTCTGGGAGTTGAAGTTCACAAATCATAAAAGGGCCATCATTCCTCACCTCTGATCTAGATCCTCAACCGGCACTCAAGAGCTGAAAGCATTAGCGCTAATGGCAAAATTCAAATAGGGATATTGCTTTTTTTTGCAGATATAATTATTGATGAGAGACTTCTTGCCATTAATTTCTTGGCCTTCAACATGGAGGATCCTATCTGAAATCCTGGCTTCCAGCCTTGCCAACTGTAGTCCTGATTGGGTTTTGATCTTTGTAAAGGAGATCTTAGCAATACAATAAGAACTCCCAGATGGCACAGACTATTATACAATGGAACAAAGTGTATAGAAAAGTGGGAATTTTGGTTAAGAGTTTGGTGCATGCTTTCTTCTAACTGCATATTTCTACTTAGAGCAAAAAGCTGAAATTCATGTTACTAGGAGAGATTGGACTAAACTTTTTTTGCTTGAATTTCTACTGCCATTTTAAAAATCGCTAGATAACCTGTGACATGTTAGGTCATTGTTTCAGAGGTATTTCCTTATCTAAACTGAAAAACAGAATGTCTATGGACTGGCAAAAAAAATTACTGGGAGTAGGAATGACTTCTGACTTCCTGTTGGTTTCCCCATTGTTTCTTTATGGAAAGCTGGAAGAGAGCATTGGAAATCTTCCTCCCTCCCTGCCTCTTCCTGCCACATCTAGTTTAGACTTCCTGCTGGCTTTTTCACTGGCTTTAAAAAATAGGTACTGTGCACACCAGGCAGGATTCGCAGGGGTGTAGTGAGAGTCAGGAAGGGTGAGCATGAGATGCCAGAGGGAGGGCTTGCCAGATATAATGCAGGTAAGGAAGTATATAGGTGTGCGTGAGAAGTGCCACACAGATCCAGGTGTGCAGGACATGATGCAGTAAGGGTGTGTGATGGTGCACAAGAGGTATTGCACAGGTGAGGAAGGGTGCATGGGGTGCATCGGAGGACTGGGAGGGTGCACAGGGCTGCAATGTGGGTCAGGGAGGATGCAGGGGGTGTAGCATGGGTTGGATTCTGCAGAAATGTGCAGGGGTGTGCAAGAGATGCCTAACTAGTTGGGAATGGGGCGCGAAGTGCATGAGAGGTGCTGCATAGATCAGAGGTGCAAGGAGGTTGGGAAGACTGAATGGAGGTGCACAAGGCATGGTGCAAGTGCAGAGAAGCTGGGGAAGTTGTGAGTGACAGCAACTTACCCAAGCAACTTGCAACCTTCTCTGCCAGCTTCTCCATTATCAACTGTGCTTGTGGGAGCTGGCTGGGAGCATAGGCAATCACAGATAGGTTTACACCTCCTGCCAACTTCTCCATTGACTTGTAGAAAGCTGGGAGTGTTGAAAATAACCTCACATGACTAAAGCTGATTGTGAGAGTGGGGTGATGGGGCATCACTGAAGGGAGTCAGGCGTCATGAACTCTGGACACATTCTGTAAGTTAGCCCATTTGAAATAAGTTGAACAAAATTGGTATAATGCCCCATTTTGCCCAACTGATGTTTACAAAGAGACACAGTTTTAGTAGTACAGACTATCCACTCAATAATATGGGTTCCTTATGAAAGTGTTATTCCACGTTTCCTCAATTACTATTAGGTTTCTTTAGATGTTTTCGTTAAAAGCAGCATGCAAGCTAATATTTAGATAATGGAAGTCATTGACCAACACCTGCTTCCCATGCTTGCTAAGACATAAAACAATGTAAAACATCCATGGAAACAAATTCATGGCTCACCTATTTTTATCCTGCCTAAGTTATATACATTGGTCCACCCACTTGGTAAGCCTGTGACTGATTTCCTGGAAGTAAGCACCATGGAGTAAATATATATAGGGTTCTGCTGGCTCAAATGAAAAGATATGGCTTTCTTCAAGTTGAGCTCTACTTCTGTTGGTTTCAGAGATACATTCATGGAGCTTTATTGACAAAGCAGAAATGATTTGCCTCTGCCTTTTTCTGACATATGTTTTCAGCCTAGCTAACAGCTCTGGGATTTCTAATGGACTTCCATAATTGGCTATTGGCCCTGCTTAGCTTTTCAAGGTCAAGCAGGCAATGCTTCAATCTGGATGCCAATCTTTACCCGCCTCTACAGTTCTGTCCTTGCCATCAGATCTGCTTATCTAACAAAATTAAGATAATCAGACAAAATTAACCGGGATCAAGATTGGACAGGTTCAGTGCAAGGACAAAAGCATATTTCTATTGAATTCCCTACCTTAAAATGTTCAAATTTTTAAGCTGAATGTACATTGTGCAAATATGTAGATGCAGAGAGTTGGTCAATGCACGAGGGTAGCAAGAAAGAGAAGTATAAATTTCAATACAGGAAATGGGATGGAGCAGCCACTGTAAGAGAAGTAATGATGCAGCAGCTAAATTTTAGCACAAAAATACCGTCGCCGAGAGCATATCCATTCAGCTGTATGGCAATTACAGAGATCAAAGATGCTATAAGAGAATATTGGCTCTCTGAATAATCAAGCAAAGGTGAGCTCTCCCAGGTTTGTCCAATGAAAGTCTACTTGTTTTCTGTCATTCCCAACTTTTCTAGTATTTTATCCATCTTTTAGCTCATGACTTTCAAAAAACTAACAGGTACTAACTAGCACCAGCAGCCATGCAAAGAAGGCAGCAATACAAATGCTTTCAGGCTTGGCACCTCTTATATTTCATCGTATCCTCTGGTTTCCCTAAAAATGCAAATGGCCCCCATATTTCTGGTGTTTGGAAGGGTGCTAAAGGCCCTTGTCGCAGAAGCCTTTGGTGAGTATTATTGAAGCTCCATTTTCTTGGCTCCATCTAGGTTTGTTATCTCTGCTATCTTTACTGGGGTTTTTTGTGTTGTTCCCAAGTGTTTTTAGCTGTTTGTAAACCACCCAGAGTCGCAAGGAATTGGGCAGCATAAATGTTATCTTTCAAACAGCCTAGACCGATGGTCTGCAGACCCCTTGGGGGGTGACGCGAGGTCATCACAGAGGGACTATAAAGTCTTGAAGAAATGTTATGATTTAAATCCTGAGTTACGTCTTGGCGGTCCATGGCCATGGTGTATGGCTAAAAAAAGTACTTAAAGGGGGTCCGTGGTAAAAAAAAGGTTGAGAAGGTCAGCCTAGACCAGGGGTTTTCAAACTTGGCCCTTTTATGACCTGTGGACTTCAACTCCCAGAATTCCTGTGTGCCAGCGTGCCTGGCTGAGGAATTCTGGGAGTTGAAGTCCACAAGTCATAAAAGGGCTAAGTTTGAAGACTCCTGGTCTAGACTATCAGCGTTATCCATGGAGTGAGGGTGGCTCAAAACAGACAAAATGGCAGACATAGTAAGGCAATCCAAGTCCTACACCTTTGTATGTGCGTGCAATATTAATACATGTATACAAAAGGGGTAAAGTTGGATCACAATGCCACATCTACCACCTTGCCTCTTTCGCTTAGGTGCTGCTGTAAAATATGTAACTATAAAGCAATAGCAAACCAAACAAGATTCTTACACAAAACACTGAACTGTGGATCAATCAACCAGCAATGCCATGGTACCAAATGTGTATCAAAACGTACCTCAATAATAAGGGATAGAAGTGGTGTTTGTTTTAAGGCAAGAATCTAATTCTTGCAGCTGGTCCAAATTACATTTCCACACATATACAAGGAAAATGGGCATTCCTGTGTTACTGTATATTACCAAACTTCCAGATTTGGTTGATTTTAGGTACCTCATCTCTAAAATATTTCATATTCTGTACCAATTTCATAGGACAATTGATCCACAATTTTGCATCTGTCCTCAGGAGTAAAAACCCATTGATTTCAATAAGCTTATTTTGAGGACATATAGCAAACAACTGTGCAGCCTGCTTCTTTAAGACCTGAAAGTGTTTAAGATGCTGGATATGGAAAGAAAATTAAAACCAGGACATTCCGAACACGTGCTTTTCAAAACACAGAGGTGATGTTTTCCTGTGATAATTTCTGCTCTGGTTCAATGGTTCAGATTTTCCTTCATTTCAGCAGATGCATCTTATCATACCAATAAACTGCACATTAATAAAAGCAGGCTTTTGAACTAAAGTCTCAAGAGAACTGGGGAGCACAGAACACCGCAGAGCCCATCAAAAGAATTCCTGCTTCAAACTGGCAATCACCTAAAACACAACAGCTAAAATGGGCTGGTACATACCTACTCATAGGTTACTAAGCCAGATCCTTTTGCATAGTGGGAGATGGCTGCATTTTCTCTGGTTTCCTTTTTCCACCCTTTTGTTAGAAATCAGTTGACATACCCACGGTGAAAAGGAGAGAACAGCTTTGCTGGCTGGTTTCAGGAGGGAGAAATGCCATACCCGAGACCTCCTCTGATGGTGGTTCTGACAATTGTCTAATGCAGTTTTAACAACTGGGGTTATAATTCCCCCCCTCCTTTTTTGGTCCTTCCCTCCCTGTCTATTGTGCCCTTTGGTTCATATTCCATCATTTCATGTAAACTCCTTGGAATGAATAGGTGGAAATATGTAAACCACAAACACACATTCCATAAAGATGAGAACAAGTGGCACATGTTCAGTTACTCTTTTTTAAAACAGCAAAAGAAAGCCCCGTTGTCCAAACTGTGCGTTCGAGGGAAGCTCTCACCAATACGAGACAAACTGAGTATTAGAAGTCATCTCTGCCAGAGGAGACACGCTTATAGTTAGCCAAGAGACATTTCCCTCCCTCCCCCTCCCCCAAACACTCAACAACAGGTAGGCGTCAAGAGTCAGGAGCATTACAGATCCACCAAAGATTTAAGAGAAGGCCTGGCTAAGATCCCAGTAAAACAAGTTGTCCCAAGTGTAAAGACTGGAGTAACTACAGGAGAGTTGATATGCCAGCTGAGAAGCATGGGAATACAAGGGATGGTCCATGAGGTGGCTGATCCTCCTCTCCAAGGAGAACACTTGAATTGTGGCCTGTGTGTCCAGAATCAAGAAGCTTCTTGTTTATTTTAGTCGATATGTCCAACGTTTCAAGAAAGTTCAACTAAGTTGGCCTTGACAACAGATCCTGAAGAAAAGTAGCACAGGAATGCATGAGCAAGGCAGGGCCTGGGCTCCACAAGTCATCAGTCCAAGTTGGGGATACGTGTACATCTGAACACCAAGTAAGGAACTGTGTACAAAGTCCAAGTCCTGCCTCAGACTTCAGTAGCCATGCTTTTCACATAAAACACCCTATCTATCTATGGTTCCATTTCCCATTCACTTGACGTTAACCCTAGACACTGTACACTCTAGGCTGCAATGATCTGTGGCACCTGGGGGGGGGAGATGGTCAATAAAGGCAGAATGGCAGTTGCAACAGTGCAATTGAAGCTCCACCCTTTTTGTACATGTGACGTCACATGGATGTTCGAAGGGGTGGGGCTTCAATTGTGCTGCTACAGCTGCTGCTTTTGATCTCCTCCCCTTTCACATACTTCTGCCAGGGATGCTACTCTGATGTGTTTTTTGCTCCATTATATTCCATTCCTAACAGTCTGATTCCCAAAGCGGTTAGCACTTTGGAAAAAGGAGAAAAGAGCTTGAGGTTGGGGAGGAACTGAAATAAGAGGGCTCACTGGGTTTCAACTATACGTGGGAATCAAGCTCAGAATATGAACCCACCCTTCTGAGTGGATCAAGAGGGTTGTGCAAAAGGGTTCCACAACTGGAGTTTGAGGATTAGATTTGACCTTTGCCAGAGATACATTGAGAGAAGCCCTTTCCTCTATTTCCCACCCACCTTTTCTAAATGCATGGTTTTTCAGCACATGAGCAATTTGTCACTCACTTGGACCTAGTCCATTAAGGGCAAATATCATAGGAGCACTCAGAGAGATAGCTATATTTTAATACCAACGAAATACTGGAAGTGAGGAATTCCAAATGCTCTCACAATCCATGTCTTAACTCCAACAGAAATAACTTTGCTTGAGAGAAAACTCTGAAAAAAATAGAATGTGGGGAGGTAAATTGGAGAGAAAGGAAGGTTTGGCTTCTCCAACCAATATGAAACTCCTCTTTCATCTTTTTAAAAAAAAAGAAAGGAAAAAAAAGAAAGAAATCGCCCTTGGACTTACCACTTGATCACATCTATTTTATCCTCAAGAGCCAAAGTATTGAAGTGGTAAATTCTGGGCTTTGCAGCTTCAGATTTTAAATCTTGGTGGTGCGTGTATACATTTATCACACAGTAAAAAAGAAAAAAAAATCTCCTCTGCATAAGGTAAACTAGCACATTGAAAAGACAGGCTCAGTAGAGGTACCTATGATATGTTTGCTACTCAATGCAGGGAGAGGCCATTTTTGTTTTTCTTTTTCCCCCAAAAGCAAATCATTCAGAATGACGGCCCACTCGAGACAACTATTTTGAATAAGTCCTGAATTCCATCATCTTTCTTTTGCTTCACTCCCTCATGCCTGTCTTTGTTCTCCAGTTCCTCAAACAATCCATTACATATAAAATGTTAATTTCAGCCCCAAAGCTCAAGCTTTGTACTCTGCATTAAGATCACGTGATAGAGAAAGGTGGCTCTGACGGATGACAGAGCTCCCGCCACAAAAGCGGAGTTTGGCAGTAACAAGAAGCCATTCCTGGGCACGTGGCAACAGAGATCAGTCATTGGTGATACCTTTAGCCCGTAGTTCCTCTTGCACCCGGGCAAGATATGTAGGATCTGGGTAGCCAAACCTAGGGGAAATGAAGACAAAGGTTTATGAGCTTACCCTCTTGACCTAAACTCGGGCAGTTTTAAGTTACCCCAAATGGCTTAACTTGGAATTCTCTAAAAACTTCTGGGAACATTAAGTGGACAACTTCCCTTTATTAAAAATATATTTAACTACCTATTGCCGATTCCCCTTCCCTCAAATGGGCGAAGGCTTCTGGATCTGTTCTAGGCTGTGACTCCATTAACCCAAGAGGCACAAAAGACATGACTGGTGTGAAGCAAGTGCATATCCCAAAGCAATTTTCCTTGAAATGATGATTTCTGTGTATGGTGGCTGGCTCCTCTTCTAGGGGTGTCATCCTGCAGTAATAGTAATAGTAGTAAAGTTGGAAGGGACCTTGGAGGTCATCTAGTCCAACCCCCTGCTCAGGCAGGAAACCCTACACCATTTCGGACAAATGGCTGTCCAGTCTATTCTTAAAAACTTCCAGTGTTGGAGCATTTACTGCTTCTGGAGGCAGGCTGTTCCACTGATTAATTGTTCTCACTGTCAGGAAGTTTCTCCTTAGTTCTAGGTTGCTTCTCTCCTTGATTAGTTTCCACCCGTTGCTTCTTGTCCTGCCTTCAGGTGCTTTGGAAAATAGCTTAATTCCCTCTTCTTGATGGCAGCCCCTGAGATATTGGAATACTGCTATCATGTCCCCCCTTGTCCTTCTCTTCATTAAACTAGACATACCCAATTCTCGCAACCGTTCCTTATATGTTTTAGCCTCCAGTCCCCTAATCATCTTTGTTGCTCTTCTCTGTACTCTTTCTAGAGTCTCAACATCTTTTTTACATCGTGGTGACCAAAACTGGATGCAGTATTCCAAGTGTGGCCTTACCAATGCATTGAAGAGTGGTATTAATACTTCGCGTGATCTTGATTCTATCCCTCTGTTAATGCAGCCTAGTACTGTGTTGGCCTTTGTGGCAGCTGCCGCACACTGCTGGCTCATATTTAACTGATTGTCTACTAGGACTCCGAGGTCCCTCTCACAGTTACTACTATTGAGCATGGTGCCACCTATGCTGTACTTGTGCATTTGGTTTTTCTTGCCTAAATGTAGAACCTTGCTTTTTTCAACATTGAATTTCATTTTGTTAGTTAGTGCCCAGTGTTCAAGTCTGTCCAGATCCTTCTGTATCTGAAGCCTGTCTTCTGGAGTGTTGGCTATTCCTGCCAGCTTGGTGTCATCTGCAAATTTGATGAGTTCCCCATCTATCCCTTCATCCAAATCGTTGATGAAGATGTTGAAGAGTACTGGGCCCAGAACAGAGCCCTGGGGCACCCCACTACACACTTCCGTTTCTCAATCTTTGCAACACTGAGATATGTGGATTTCAATTCCTAGAATTCTTAACAACAGCCAAGCTCTGGATTCTGCTGCATATAGGTTTCACGCCAAATAAACTGATGTGGAAAATTGTTCCCCAAGAAACAGAGATACCCACAGTCAGAAACTTCTGCAGGCTGATAGAGAAAAAGCTTAGTTGGTGCATTAATCATGTAGCTGGCCTAAGCAAAAAAAAAAAAAAAGCAGTCTCACTTCATGCAAAAGCTCATAATGCAAGGCTGGCTAATCAAAACTTTCTTCAGCACCAGGCCCCCAATATATACTGACGAAAATCCAATGCAAAGCAAAACAATAAAAAAACCCAGAACACTGTAACAATGCTAGGTTAGAACAGATTCTCGTTTCCTTTCAGGCACTAAGGTCAGTTCATAATTTCTCTTAGCCTAATGCATCTCAGAAGGCTGCTGCAAAGATAAATTCACAGGCAACAAATTGATATGCAACAATGATCAACTTGAAGCAAAAGCATGCATATATATAAATATGCGTGGCGAGTTAAAAATTCCTGACTCTAGCATTTCAAGAAGACACGACATTGGAGCTGTATATCTGAAAAGCTCCAGGTAAGGGTAAAATAACCTATTATTTAGAGAGCCAGCGTGAAAGTTTATTCTATGAAGTTCTTCTTGGATATCCAAAGATATCACTTATTTATTTTCAATTTGTAACCTACTAAGATCACGTAGTAGTCTTGCTCTATTGACTCTGAACTTTATAGCCTGGTACCTTTTAATGCTATTGTTTGGGTCAGTGGCGGCGAACCTGTGGGCACATGTGTCATTGCTCCAGTCTTGCCTCCACCCGTGACTCCCTCCTCACCAGCAGCCTCCCTGGAGGAGAGTTGCCCCCGAGCATGGCCCACGTGGAGCAGCGCAGCCAAGGACATGGCAGCTAGGCAGTGTAAACAAGACTGCCCTCACGCCCCAACGCGCACAGTTGATGCTGCTGGGCGTGGGCAGAGGGCATGGCCGCCATGGCGCTGCTGGGCTGCCTGGGCGATCTGCAGCAGGCCCTGGAGGCTGTGAGTGGCCCTGTGGGCAGGCAAGGTAGGGCAGAGTAGGGGCAGGGCAGGGGGTGGAGCGGGGGCGGGGCAGGGGGTGGAGCGGGGACGGGGCCAGTTTTTGGGCACTGTCTCTAAAAGGTTCACCATCACTGGTTTAGGTTCTTACAGGACCTTTCTGAGTTCCAAGCAGCCCTCAATACTAACCCCTCCCTTTGGCAGCCCTTTGCTCCAACCCCTCCATCTTTATTTTATTCCCTCCACTTCACAACCACAGGCACATCACATGGCAAGCCCTTACAGCTGGGGTCCCCCAGTGCAGTTGGTTTTGTGATGGATGTCATTCCAGGTGATGACGTTGGCTCGCCCTGTGGTCATGGAGGTCCCAATGGTGAAGGTGAGCCGTTGATCAAAGGCTTTGCGGAAGAGCGCCAGCACTTTGTTGCCTTCGGGGCAGTCAGGTAAATAAGCCACACGGGTGGTACCTGGATAGCGGACGCCAGGATTGGGATGTTCAACCTGCAGGAGAAGGATGAATTCTGAGAAAAAAAAACTTAACTACAACAAGAGATGGATGAACTGATCCATAGGTTGGGAAGTCACACGGTGATATGTTGGACCACAACTCCAATTGTTCTCCCAAAGTCAATGCGGACATCCAATTGGAAAAAAGTTGGACTAGAGCAGGCATGTCAAACTGCCGGCCCACAGACCGGATGCATCATACTGAAACCGCGCCCACCCCATTGCTGGCAATGGGGAAAAAGTTGTGATACATTGTGAGTTTGACATGCCTGGACTAGAGGCATCCGAGTCTACAAAAAGGGGACTAGCAGGAACAGAAACACAAGCTGTTATTCACTTTAATAGCTTTGGTTGAGAGAGTGAAATATGGGAAGATCTCACCTCTTTTTAGAAAAAATGGACTCCAATACAATTATGTATGACTAATTTACAAAAGTGGCTATTTTTCCCCAATAAATCAGTTTTACCTAACTTGGCATTGCAGAAATTTTGAACTACAAATCCTAATATCCCCAAATATTTGTCAGAGAGAGGCTAAGATATGTGGTTTAGCAAATGCAAAGATTGGATAAGACTGCTAAAGGATATCAAACAAAGATTACAGCTTTGTGAATCTGTTGTTTTCACTCAATTTACAGGGTCCACCAGGAAGAATCTAGTAAAAAAAAAAAAGAATTGGGGAGCTTGTTTTTAGAACCATCCTTTCTTCATCTCTTATCCTAGGCCTTACTCATTTCAGCCATGTAATTTAGCTCATAGGAGAAGGAATCTAAACATATTTTAATGTTGCTTTTCTTACTCAACTGGCAATCCAAAATCTTCCCTATTTAGATCAAAATTCTCCCAGAGATTTTACTATAGATGATCATCCTTCCATAGCTGCAGCTACAATTCTATGCCATATTTAAGCTGTTCAAAGATGAGTGGTTAGAAATGGCCACTGAACATTTTATTCTCTTATGTTATTGTATCAACTATCTTTTCCCTTTCTATTCCCTGGGAAAATGGCCACGCAGGACTTCTTGGCTCTCCTGTTCACTTTTCCTTCCCCTTTGCGTTCTATGTTCTTATCGGGCTGAAAAACCTACAGCTTCACTAATCTACAAAAGGCAAACAATTAAAATACCAATGAGGCCATAGGAACAGGGCTTCTCTGAAGTTCCTCCTCTCCGCCCCCAGGGCATTTCCATTTACTGTTCTTTCTCAAAAGGTATCCTCCTGATAGATGATCTTCCTTTGGTCTGCCTTCTGGTCACTTTGTCAAAAGAGTGGAAAAATACTCTCATTCAAGAATAGGAGGTCTAAGCATCCAGGATATTCTTCAAAGAACAACCTGAATTCAGAGTTAAATTCAACTTGAATTCAAAGAATAACAAAGAAGATTTAGAAGTTGTTTTTTTTTCACAGTAGGAAGGAACATCTGGGTGATCTTGGCCATCCTGAAAAATAGCAGGTTGGGTATTGGCTAATGTCTAGGTTGGGAAGTTGGAAAACACCCAGGAGATGGTAAGCTGCATCTATACTGCTATCAAGAAAAGAATAGAGGCATGCCCATTTGGTCTTCAAAAACTGGATCTCACTTATGGGACACTTGTCTTTTTCTCCCTGGATTTTTTTCATTCTGTTTTCCTTATAAGTGTCGCTCAGTCTAATTTCATAATGTTCACGTAACCTGCCCTTACCTACTAAGAGTAAGACAGAGGGCTTATTCTAAGTAACCTATTCAATCAGCTCAGCAAGAAAAAAAAAAGCTCAGTGAATGAATTATGCCCTGGGTTATCATTTTCATAGTTTCATCCAAGGCAATAACTAAGTCTGGTCATGTTTCAACTAATGCCCCTGCATATTCTTGAATATTAATTTTTTTTGGTAGCATATATTCTAAATATAGACACTAACTCCCCCCCCCTTTTTTCACTAAATTGACTCTAAAGGTTTCCTTATCCTCCAGCAGAATTCCATGATGTTTGACAGCAAGAATATTATGGTTTAAGTGGAGGCATTTCTTCTGCAAGTGGATCGTTTGAACCTAGGCCATTCACACAACTTTTTTAAACTGTAGAGAAGGAAGTGCAGATTTCAGGGATCCTTGCAACTAATTTTGCAGGCTCAAGTAGCTTCAGGTTTGAATCGCAAGCTGGCTCACTTTCTGCAATTCCAGGAATTTTAAAAAGCAGTTGGCAATGTAGGCCACTGAGCATTTTTAGTTCCTGGCAGATTTATTTCTTACTTGGAGGTCACACCTTTTCTCTCCAGAGCTGAAGGTGGCAAGCCTGCTGTGTTTTTCCCCTTCTCCCACCCGGCCATTTTGTTCTCACAACTTACCTGCTTTGTGAAGAGGATATGACTGTCCCAAAATCACCTAGGGATTGCTCAGCCTGTGTTTTTTCAGTCCTAATCTGACACAGGCATCACTGCCCCACTAACTTTCATAAAAAGCTTTCACACATCTTTTTTTATTTGCACATAGGAGAATCTCCCCCCCAACTGCCAACCATAAATTTCCGGCCTCAAAATTGCCTTTTCAATTTGTCTCCCTTTACTTACAGAAGACTCTAAAAGCAACAGGCAAACAACCCATTTCGCAAAATGGCACCTTTTATTTCCTGATAAGTAACTACTTTCTCCATTTACTGTCTGCTGATCCTGCTCTCCTTCAAGAAGGGCAAACCGTTCACAAACAAGGAAATATTCTTCCCCACAACTAATGCTTCCTCCACTCTCAGATATGCACCGTTTTTCTGAAGAGGTTCAAAAAGTCAGCAAAGCCAGGATTAAAAAATTCTACATTTTAAAAAATTAAGGGTATATCAACTAAACATCAGTATTAATAACTGTCATCTGTTTGGTAACCTATCTATGGCATGTTAAATATTGCCATGTTTGAAGGAATCAGATTGTGCATATGACACAGGCCAGGAAGCTATGACACTAGACCAGCCAGTTTTGTCTAGTGCTTAAGGCACCAGGCTACAAACTGGGAGATGGTGAGTTCTAGTCTCATCTTAGCCATGAAACCCAGCTGGGTGATCTTGGGCCAGTCATTCTCTCTCTTAGCCCAACTCACCTCACAGGGCTGTTGTTGCGGGGAAAAATAGGAGGAAGGTGTGTTGGATATGTTCACCACCTTGAGTTAATTGTAAAAACAATAAAAGCAGGATATAAATGAATACAAATAAAACTTAGGTTTTTCAGCCAATTATCATTCTATGAGTCCTCACAAACCTTCATGGATTCTTTTAAGTGACCTCACCTGGGTCTGACAGCAACCCTCCTTGGCTAATCTAAAAAACAAACGAACAGCTAAACAAGATCAGATCTGATTAATTCTGAGATGGGAAACCACAAGGAAACCCCACCACTGTAGGCTAAAGTAGGAAATTGAATCAAAAAATGCAGAAAAAAGAACTTCCATATATGTTGTTGCCAAAAAAAAAAAAAAGTCATGAATCCCCTCTATTTGACTTTAATCTGTTACATCACTTTCCACAATTAATGCCTACAGATTTAGGGTCTTCGGGGAGACATGAAAGGATGGCTTAAAGACCTGCTCTTGAATCCTATCATGTTTTAATACAATCTTATCCAACCCTGCTGCCTTCTCAGTGTGTTGAGATTACAGTACAATTCTTAAAATCCTCAGCCAGCATGGCCAATTGACCACCTCTTCACATGTGTGTCTACTCAAAACAAAACACCAACCCACTTAATCTGCTTCCTCTTAAGAGGATGGCAAGAAGATAGGGCAATAATTGAAATCTGTGGGTGAAAAGGAACCTTAGAGGCATCTAGTCCAACTCTCTACCCAGGGCAAAAATCCTCAGACCAAGCCAGTTAAGTGACTTTCCAACTTTTTGCTTGAAAATTTCCAAAGAAGGATGCTCATGACTCTGGGAGCCAGGCTGTTCAGTTGCTTAACAGCTGATAATAATTAACAGTCACAATTAGGAAATTCCACCGTATTTCAAGTTTGGATCTCTGCTATAAAACCTCCACCCACTGGTTTTTATCTTACCCTCAAATTCTCTGAGAAATAAATCCATACAGTCTAGTCTATAACATCCCTTCATGTATTGGAAGACTGTTATTAAGACTCCCTTTATCCTTCTCTTCTTTAAGCTAAACATACCAAGTTTCTTTAACCATTCTTTAGCCCTCAAGCCACTCACCATCTGTATCATTCTTTCTGTCCACTTTACATTATCTTGTATTTTGATGACCAAAACTAGACGAAGTATTCCAGATACAGTCTGATCTGTGCAACATAGAGCAGAACTATCACTTCCTATTAGCTCAACATGTTATTTCTGTTGTTGTGGCCCAAGACTGCACTGGCCCTTTTAGTGGGTGCAGCACACTGGTGGCTCATGCTTGAATTGTGATGTAACAGGAGACTTGGAATCTTCTCCCAAGCACCACTGCCCAGTCAAGAACTGTCTATCTTCTATCTGGGCATCTATTTTTTTTCCTACCTAAGGGCAGAACCTTAACATTTGTCACCCCTGAATACCATTTTGTTGGATAAGGTCCAATTTTCAAGTCATGAAGATGATGTATTCACTAAAAGAGGTGGCAACATTAATTTATATCAAAACATCCTACTCTAAGATTCAGCCCAACACCATTCCTCAATTCATTCAACCCCCCCAAATAAACATTCATTATTTTCTCCTATTTTTGGTGTAGGAATAAAATCACTGTAGTTGAGGATAGTACAGTGATGGAAACTTGTCCTGACATGGTATGTTCTCTCCCGCAGCTTGTAAGTCATAATAAATTTCTATGTAGAGCAGCAATTTAAAGTCAACAGACCTGATACTACAGATAGCCTGGCAGCTTTCTTTTGGGGGCCCCCAAGAATTAGGTCAGAGAAAATGAGACTAGATACTTTAGGCTTTTTTGTTTACATGAGATGGAATTGAGTGGTTAAAATGGGTGCTCCTATGCCTTGGAGAGATTTAATGCTCTCATTTCCTCTTAAAAACAAATGTTATCTTCCCAATGGATTGTGGCCATGCCCACTGGTGGCACACAACCCTTGCACTGCCAGATAAAATCTGGTGTCATTCTGGTGTAAGGAATGTTGTTATATATGTCCAACTCCATTTTTGATAGAATTTTCTAGCCATTTGAGACCATGGCCATTGTGCTCTTCTCTCAATTCTCTATCATTTGCTTTCTCCAGTTTGGTGCCAACCTTAAGCCCAATGCTGGGGGAATAGAGGACAGCAGCTCCTAATGCCCTATGCAGCCTTTGACCTCATCTGAAATCCTTTCAGGAAAAAAAAAACTTAGCCTCAAGTCAGAGCTACAGCCTGCTGCTTAGAAGGAAGAGAAGAGGGTGTCATAAAGAGAGAAAAAGAGGCTGAGTCTTAACTGGTTTTTTTGCTGTAGTCCCAAATATTGCTCACTTTAGTTCCAATGTATCCTCAAACAAATTCCCTAAGAGGGAACACAGCCCTTAAGAATGAGAAAGGATTCCTACTTCTGACTATGGCCTAGCTAGTCATGCATGGGAGCTGAGGGAAATGTAGTCTTAGCACAGCTGGAAGCTTCTAGAACAGGGAAGATGACCCTGCGAAGACCATTTCCAAGCAACAGAAAGAAGAAAAGAGAAACCCAACTTACTCCTTGTATGCCAGGTGGGAAGACATACTGGATTATGATGGTGCCATATTTCTCATAACCAGGAAGCAGAAGACTTGAGTCCTTGGAGACCAGCATGCGTCCATTCTCTGGCTGGTTCCCTACCAGCTGCCCGTAGAAACGGCCACACATTGGGCAAGCTTTCTTGACTTGCAAGGCCCGGGTGATACAGTCCTCACAGAAGGAGTGCTTGCATTTCTCCAAAGTTTTAATGTTCTGGATCTCTCCCAAACAAATTGGGCACTGGCTGTCCTGTTCCTCCTCCCCTCCCCTTGAGCAGCTGGCCATCCCTCCACTGCCACTTACTACTCTTGGCCCAGAGGTTTGCTGCCCTCGGGATATCAAGGCAGCTCCTCGACGGTGGAGCTCTACAGCTCCGTGTTCTCGGCTCTTCTCCATCAAAGCCATGCAGCCCATCAGCTCACTCTGACGTTGAGCCTTCTTCAATTCCTTCTCCGTTTCCTTGAGCAGTGCTTTGAGAGCCTTACGAGCCAGGTAAAGGCCATTGCTTGGTCCATGGGCAGGCATGGTAATCTGCAGCACATAGATCTCGGATGTCTCACCATCAATCAAGACACTGACTTTATTCTCCTCTTTCAACTTGACCAGTTTGGCAGGACTTTCCTTGGTCAGGAAGTCCCAGACGTGCTTATTTACCGTGAGCCTATTTTTAGTGGTGCCTCCACAAGCGGCCATCCTGGATAAAACAAATGATACTGAAGAGAGAGAGAGAGGGGGGGGGGAGATAATCAAAGTTATAGAAGTGGCTCCAGGCAGAAATACAGATGAATACACTCGGACAGAATCCCATGTTGGGTTACTTTACCTCAGGAACTTGGATGGTTTCATTGTTTTGGGAAAAATATTTTTGTTTTTTTTGAACATCACAACCCCATTAGCAAATGCTGAATCATTTAGAATTCAGACTTAAATTCATACATCCATCCTACATAATCAAGTGTTCATATGCCTCTCTGTCAAACTCCAAATCCTAAAACACTTGAAGAAACCACAAATCTAAGAGAACCGAGAAAAAATGACTCTAACTGACCAGGAAGGAATTGATCCTGAATCTATACATTCTAGATCAGTGGTTCTCAATCTTTTTAATGCCGCGACCCCCAACCGGTTGTAAGTCGAGGACTACTCAACCGGTCGTAAGTCGAGGACTACTCAACTGGTGCAACACCATTTGCTGAATGGGACTTTTGGCGGGCTCAGCAGGGCAGAGACAGCTTGGATAATTCCTATTGGTTTTTGAAAGCCAATAGAATTAGACTCTATTCAAGAGAGTCTATTCTATTGGCTTTCAAAAGCCGATAGAATAAAAGGGAGTAGCACAGCTAAGGAAAGGGGGAAAAAAATGGCAGACTGCGTTGTTTGGCGACCCCCGTGAAATGGTCGTTCGACCCCAAATAGGGTCCCGACCCACAGGTTGAGAACCACTGTTCTAGATTGGTTGGTCTACTCTAGGTCTTTCATTTTTTTCCTTCTGGTTAAAATGGTGGAGCTCTAATCCTACCCATTTGAAGATCCTAGTTTGGCCAAGATTGATTACGATTACATTTTATTATTAAGGTGGGTGAAACAAGACAAAAAGAATAATCTATTTGTTTCAGATCTCTCTGAATTTCTAAATAGAATAACAAATGGCCAATTATCAACTGCAAGAATGGCCTTTTAAAAATAAACCAGCGGATTGTGTGTATGTGAGAAGAATCCAAATTACCACACTTGCTTTTTGCATTGGAGGGAGGAAAAAGCTGTACTCACACAATTGCTAACTGTGTGAATGACAGCTTATCTTCTTTGACCCAAGCAGTAAAATTCTTGAGCAGAAACTTACTGCATGGCTGGCAAACATGTGGGAGTCTGGATATTGCTAAAGTATCGTTCCTAGTGTTGCTTGTTATTGGTACTCTTGCACAATATAGAATGTTTCCTTTCTCATCACTTTACATACACCTCTGCATATATGAAGACAGAGGATAATTAACAATTGACCAGAAATCTGATTTATACCTGGTCAACCCTAGTTTACCTAGTTCAGTGGCCACTAAAAATAGGAGCTTTCCAATATCTTAGACAAAAATCTCTAGTTTTTTTTTTTAAGATTGCCAAAATCCAAACCTGGAATTTTATTTTATTTTTGAATATGAAGCATGAATGTTACTGAGCTACATCTTCTGACAAGATGGTGGGTTAAGCACAAAGCACTTGCATTTTGCCTGGACTGCCAGAAATTCCTGCACTTGTAAGCAATCAGTGGGAAATATATGAATGATTTACAGTAAGTTTATACCTCAGCTACAAGACAGAAAATGAGTCCATCTCTCATTTCAACTATCAAGGTAAAAAATTTTTTCAAATGATGATTAAAGTGTAAACATTGCTGTACAAAAAAAAAAAAAAAATCTGACTGTGTATTCCAAAGCTCCTGAGCTAGTATTTGCAAGAGAGTTTGGGGCCTCTTTGTAGCATGCTGCAAGTAATCAGAGCCCACTAGCAGCCCATGAGGAGTAAAAGGAGGAAAAAAGAATTAAAAGCCTCCAGGGAGGTATAGTCTAAGAGAGGAGCCTGGGGAGAGATTAATAGATGAAAGTCTAATTGGGGCGAGTAAAAGAGATACAGTAGATGCAACATAATCAGCGGGCTTAGTAAAATCCCAAATGTTTGCTTTTGGGAGACAAGTTCCAAAGAGTTCAGTGAGCTTTATACAATGGTTATTAAGCTTCTATTAAGGGAATCCTTTTTAAAAAACTGATCCTTACACTAAGCATTTACTTTTCAAACATATGTGTTGGTATTTATTTCTTATTTATTGAATTTATGTGATGCCCATCTCACTATCCAAAATGACTTTAGGGATTCTTATCTACAAATGACTTAAACAGCTGAAGTACCAAGTAGCAAAACATGTGCTTTTTTATGGCACATAGATGATGCTGGAATTCACCTCCACTATACCTACAGCATACATCTCTGATATTTCCTCTTAGTTCCCCATCCAAATGCTCAGCAACACTGACCCTGCGAGCTTGCCAGCCTTGCCTAAACAAATTCATGAAAAATCATCCTATTGATGGCACTGAGTTTTTCCAAATAGCTGTTGCTATGAAATACAGATGGGGAAGTATTCTGTCCTGCTCCTGTATTTCCTTAGACCAGTGGTTCTCAACCTGTGGGTCGGGACCCCATTTGGGGTCGAATGACCATTTCACGGGGGTCGCCAAACAATGCAGTCTGCCATTTTCCCCCCCTTTTCCTTAGCTGTGGTACTCCCTTTTATTCTATTGGCTTTTGAAAGCCAATAGAATAGACTCTCTTGAATAGAGTCTAATTCTACTGGCTTTCAAAAGCCAATAGGAATTATCCAGGCTGTCTCTGCCCTGCTGAGCCCGCCAAAAGTCCCACTCTGCAAACGGTGCTGCACCAGTTTAGTAGTCCTCGACTTACGACCGGTTGAGTAGTCCTCGACTTACAACCGGTTGGGGGGGTCGTGGCATTAAAAAGGTTGAGAACCACTGCCTTAGACACACCTGGCTGGGGAAATAAAATACAGTACTAACCTGAGCAGATCACTTATCAGCTTCAACTTTTTTTTTTTTTTGCTCCTAACATGACACCAAGCTACGGCAGCTATCTATGCAAGGGCTTTATTACAACTTCGGGAAACTACCACAAAATGATTGCATGGAGAATGTCAAAGGTTACAATTTGCAGCAGGCATCTTTTGCGTATGATAGCACTAATTCTCATAAAACCATTACACCAAGGGGGGATTTTAAATTTGCATTAAAATACTATGTTAATTACTAGTTATACAGGTTCCTCCTCCCTTCTATGGCATTTCCTGTATCTTGGGAACTTCCAAGAACAATTCCCATTCAAACAGTGGCTTTAAGTTATCAAAAGCTCCACCTAGAAATGGCATTAAAAAGCAGCCAGGTGGCTTTTTCAGACACAAACGGAAATATTGTGCTCCCAAAATACACTAGTAAAAAATTGGGAATTAAAACACCCCACCCATCCCAATCCTTATCCAACTGGGAATGGAAAACAATCACATTGTCAGGGCCAGCTATGCTGGGTGGGGGGGGAGGGGTTGTTTAGGGTCTGTGGAAACGCCAGCTGTCCCCTGTAAAGAAGGGAAAGGACCAGATGCAAGGCCACAAAGGAGATGCACCAGGCCTCTGGCGGGGAGCTCGTCGTCGCCTTAAATTCCTACCTAGAATTAAGCGGGTGGGCGGGAGCCTTCTCAAGATGGGCGATGATCCCCAGCAATGCAAGAAAGGGACCGGCTTCCCTCCTTCCTCCAGTCTCGAGACGTAAAACGCTCCGGGATGTGGCAAGAAGGCTCACTCTTGGAGGGCAAACCCTTTGCAGCGGGCGAAGCGAGAGGGCGAGCTCTCCCCGCTCTGGCGAGAAAAGGCAACCCAACCCCGCCGCACGTCACCTTTCGAAAGAGCGCGACGCCACCGCAATACCGTACCTGGGGAGCCCATGAGAGAGGCTGGGATCGAAGACCGGCCGGATGTGGGAGTTCAGCTGAGCTGCGAATCAGAAACTGCAAAAGGGAGAGGAGAAGAGAGGAGGCGGGTTAAATTGAGGCTGTGCGAGGAGGAGGAGGCGGCGGCGCGGTTGGGGGGGTGGGAAGGGAGGAGAGGGCGTGCGTATATTTATAGTTGGCACGGAGGAGCTCTGCTTTGGGAGTCCGGGTGCAACCCTTTACCCAAAGATTTCTCTTTTCAGCTTTTTCCGCGAGTTGTGGAGTCCTTGGAATACCCTAGTTGGGTAAATGAAACGTCTGCAAGCAAACCACCAAGCTCAGAGAGCACCAAAGACCCCACGGTTCAATCCTGAGTTAGAAATATTGTCTCTGATTGGCATTTTTCCTGAGTGTAAGCATTGCCCTAAGAGGGAAAAAGTCCCCCCTTTCCTGTTTCCAGGTAACCCAATAAATGCTATTGAGTTCAAGGTAACTTGTGCCTAGTAAAAGCTACCTTGCCTAGCATTGAATTGTGCATGCCAAACAGATGGCTTCATTGACCCCTTGGGCTGGATGGATCTGTGGAGAAAGAAGGACTTAAATCAAATCCCAACCACTTTCAGTCTGGTTTTATTCTACTACAATATTTTTCTTCAAGCTCCTTCAGGAGGCTATGGAGCTAATAACTAGCATTACAATAAGTACTCTGACTGGAGCCAAGTACTCTTGGCCATCTCTTCCACATCTGTTTTCATTCTGTGTAACCCAAGGCAAGGATTGTTGCACATTTTGAATGAAGCAGGACTATGCCAGGAGGTCATGGCTAACTCAAGGTGAATGTGTCGGAATTCATACTAGCCATGATGATGTAGGGCAATACAGCAAGCCAATCACAAAATCAGATATAACAATGATTGAGGGTGAAGGTTTGTTGTCCGAGCTTGTGGGTTGGTTTCCGAACATTACGTCACCAGGCTAGGTAACATCTTCAACAGAGTTTAGGGGATGTGTCAGTGTTCTTCTGTTTATAAGGGCTTCAGGGGTGGGTGTATCAGGTGAGGATCTTGTGATGGGTCAGGTATGAATCATCAGTGAAAGGCTCGTGATGGGTCTTGTGATAGGGAGACTATCACAAGCCTCTCACTGATGACTCATACCTAACCCATCACAAGACCCTCACTCAACACACCCACATCTGAAGCCCTTATAAACAGAAGAACACTGACACATCCCCTGAACCAGACATGTCAAACTTGTGATGTCATGTGACGTTGTGCAACGTATTGGGATGATTTTGCCATTGCCAGCAATGGGGTGGGTGCAGCTTCTGGATGATGCGTCTGGCCCACGGGCCGGCAGTTTGACACCCCTCCCTAAACTCTGTTGAAGATGTTACCTAGCCTGACAATGAAATGTTTGGAAACCAACCCACAAGCTCAGAGAACAAACCTTCACCCTCATCCTACACCCGAGCTACAGATATTTGCCACTATTGCATAATTATGATTTCTTGAATAAGCCATAGTTAGGCTTATTCATTGCATTAAAGCATAAACCATGATTTACAGATCACAGTGGCTGAGTTCACACCATACCATGCTAAATTAAAACCAAATGGGTGATCTAATTCTAGCATATGTTGACTTTCATGTACCCATGACTCTTCTTTGCAATAAGTGGGCATTTTATGAAGTAATTTACCACAGAAAATCTGTTGTTTTTTTAATCTGGGAATTAAGTAGAAGCTAGCAAATTTGTCCATGATGCCAAATTATTTGGATATTGTATGATTGTTACATTGTAAAGAAACAACAAGGAGCTCCACACAATCTGTTTAAATTGGGGAGTGGCACATGGGATTCAGTATAGGTAATTTACAAAGCAAAAGTAAAGCAATGCTTCCTGGGACAATAAACTTTCTAATTATACATAGGTGGATGCTGATGGACTGAAAGCTAGTCCTGACTGGTTCAAAAAATCTCAAGAATCAAGGTAGATAACTGGATCAAAAGTTCAAATGAGTGTGTGTACAATATGAGCAGGGCAAATTCCATGTTTTCATTAGGAAAGCAACTGAAAATATAAAGGTGAAAACAATAATACTATACTGTATACAGTTTTAGTTGCCAGAATTCTAAATTGGGACTGTAGGCCTGGAAATAAAATCAGCCAGCTCTCCTACAAGAAAGGACTGTTAAATTCTTTTTTAAAGACTGAAAAAAAATGCAAAGAAGGGATATTGCTAAGATTTGTTAAACATGCAAAGTGTGGATGGGAACACTTTGCTCCTTCTCACATGAAATTAAAAGCCTTCTCACATGAAATTAAATGATTCAGAAGGGGCAAAACTGGGGAAAGTTAAAGCAAAGTCCTTCAGAGGAAACAGAGGTTTTCAAACCAAATCTTGAATATTAAAAGCATCTTGTGGGCACTCACATAACATTGGTCTCATCAAAGGTTGAGTTGTTCCAGAAATAGTTACTATAGTGGGTGCAACCAGTCACAAGACACCTATTTTTTAGGCTGCAAACTTGACAGTTTGCTCCTTGCTACCCCCGCAGCCTCCAGGGATGTTCCCTAGTGATCCTGATGTAGTATACTTCCCTCCCTCTCTTTTTCTTCCTTAGCACATGGGCACCCTTCCAAGAAAACACTAGATAGCAGCAAATTTCCATCATTTTAATTTTTAAGAATGCCTATGGGTCCCAGAGCATTCTTATAAGTAAAGATAAGCTGGTGCTTTGATTTCCCGAATGCTCTTCCCGCCCAATGGAAAGAATCCTTTAAAAGCTAAGACAGGGAGGCTAGTGGGATTTGAGACTAGTCTTGGGCATCACACCAGGATCTCAATTTTTTGGCAATTTTAGTCACCCACCTAGCTTTTTAGGCAAATTTATGAAGAGTTAATTTCTGGTTTCAGTGGTTACCGATCATAATGACTGTGAATGTACTCTATATGTAGCATCAGAGGCAGTGTTGTCTCAATATGCCAGCCGTAATTCGCCTTTATGAGAAGAAACTGCCAAACTGATCGAGCAATAGCTCGCTCTTATGATTTTAATTTGCAAACTGAAACATATAATGCAAACAGAATGTCTCTGTACAAATTCTTTTTCTGCTCTGATGAGGAGCAGAATGGAATGGAAAGCAAAACACAGCACGAAAACCCCCTGCATAGAAATGACTTCTATGGTATTAATGCAACCGCATCTCCTTCATTGGGTACCTTGATAGTGGGAAGCAGTCAGGGAATCCAGCCACGTACTATATAGACTCAGAAAAACAATTTGATGTGCTGACATCCTCCCCAGGTTTTCTCTTCATTCCTTTAGTGGGTGTTTTAAAAGACCACACCATATTATGACCCTCCAGGGCATTTGCTCTTGGCCATAATAGTCTCAAAGCCTCATCAATATCATTATCTAGGAAAGTCAACTTCTCAGAATTTATCTTAGAAGCTGGATTTGGGCACCTCCAAGTCAAATGAAGGTTAGGTTGCAGGAAACAAGATGGAACAAGAGTGATTGCTCAATAACAAAGCAACCTACATGGTGAAATTGCATCTCTCTGCAATACAAGCCCTCTGGATGCCTTTGGTCCTTTTATGTTAATGTGAAACAGTGTACTCGGCTTATGTTCAGGAGCGTCTTGACTGTTGTCAAAACCCCGTGTGATATGAAGTCCTGACAAATAGGTTAAAGCAACTTGCTGATTTGTATAGTGATTAAACTCAGCTTCTCTAATTTGGCACCGTTTTGATGTGTTTTACTGTAAAGCCAGTCATCTCCCCATCAGCATGCCAAGGTAGCTGGGAGGATGAGAGGTTGCAAGCCAATAAATACATATATATATTATTACAAATTACGTTAAAAATACGAATCCTGGGTATAGTCATATTATAAAAACGAACAAACACGAACACCAGGAAAAGCTTTAAACTAAAACGTTTAATTTTAGTGCCAAGCTTTCGTCGGCCAACTGCCGACATATATATATGTATGTATAGCTGGAAGGCACCAAATTTGGGAAAGCTGGTCATAAATAATTAAAGGACTTATACCATAAGCATAATGGAGAATAAAGAGCTTATAAACTATTTTTGGTGGTGTATTATCTAAGAGCTAACTTCTCTTAAATGGTACTGCTTATGTTGCCTTCACCTGAAATGGCACCTCCACATAAGTGTTATTTGAGTGATGAGAATAACTATTTTGTCGCCCAGAGATAGTTGTGTTTCAAAGATGGTATTCAGCAGTCCAGACCAATCCAGGATGAGGAAACTTAATTTTAGAGCAGAGAGTGGAAGGCTCTCTTCAAAGATCACTTTTCCACCATTCAGAACTTTTCCAAAGCATCTCGAGCATTCCCTTCACTTTGTATGCTTCAGGGCAGTGAGTCCCATTATACTCTGACAGATGGATTTCACATGGATGTTTGACCAGCAGAGTGCACAGGAGTAGCAGGAAGGTGATGAAGGGTTCTATGAACAGAAAAAGGGAATTCATATCCTAGTTGGTTGCTGGTTTGCACTAAGAAAACATATTTGCCATAGTGAAAACTATCATGGGGCTGATCTTGAAAGTTACAGAGCGCCATGATTGTGTAGCTATATTCCTTGATCTAGAACCCTTCAGGTGCGTTAGCCTTCAGACACTCCAGAAATTCTGGAGGGCAACAGATATACAGGTAGTCCTTGACTTACAACAGGTCATTTAGTGACCATTCAAAGTTACAACAGCACTGAAAAAAGTGACTTATGACCGTTTTTCACACTTATGGCCATTGCAGCACCCCCATGGTCACATGATCAAAATTTGGACCCTTGGCAACTGACTCATATTTATGATGGTCGAAGTGTCTCAGAGTCATGTGATCACCTTTTGCGACCTTTTTATAAGCAAAGTCAATTGGGAAGACAGATTCACTTAACAACCATGTTAATAACAACTGCAGTGATTCACTTAACAACTGTGGCCAGAAAGTCGTAACATGGGGCAAAATTAACTTAACAAAGGTTTCACTTAGCAACAGAAATTCTGAGCTCAGTTGTGGTCATAAGTCAAGGACTACCTGTATTGGTATATAAGTATAAAGTACATAGTCTGGTATACAGAGCTGCTACCAGCGAAATGGTATGGCAGCCTAAGATAAATAAGGGTTCAAAATAAAACCTTGAGTCTCTGACTGGCTATGCACATTTCACTAAATTAAAACCAAATATAATTTAGTGCAATGTGCACAGCCAGTGAAAGATTTGGTCTTAACAGCCGAGTACGCCCAATATATGTAACCAAGTCAATTAAAAACTCAGAAGTGTTTTTTGTACAAAAACAAGTTTCAACTGATTCGTGTTTACTTTGGTAAGTTTTTTGTGGGTCAGCCTATTATGTAAATCCAGAAAATGGTTAATTCAATAACCCAGGTAAACACTGAGCAAACCCAGTCATTGTGTTGCTTAAACATAACCAGCATACTTTGTAAATTATGATTTATAATTTAGCAGGTTAAGCACATAGTATTTATTCAGTAGACTACAGTTAAGCAAACCATAGCTTAAGACGACATATAAATCTAGTCTCTCACTAGAGTTCAACCTAAAATGAATCTTAACATGGCTTAAACAAAGCCTGGAAAATGATTGGTGGCAGAGCACCTTCTCAATATATGCAGATATGGACATCTATGGGGGCAGATAACAATGTCATTAGGTAAATGCCAGAACTTAATATAACAGGACACAAGTACATAACTGTGGCATTTACGTGGTGATGTTACCACGTCTGGGCTATCATTTTGGCATAGTTCTGATTTATTTCAATTGTTGCTAAAGTTTGGTATTTCCCAAATATCTTGGGGTAGAATGTACTCTCACCTTATACAGTTAGTTTAGGATGGCAGATCAATGCTTACATTCTTATAAACCCTGCAAAAATGTTCTAGCAATTGCAAATGTATAATTCATTGTTTGAACACTGATAAGCAGATACTGTATTGTATATGCAGTCATCAACATGGGAATTGATTGCAAAATGTTTTAACAGTTTAACGCAAAGAGGATCAAAACAACATCTTTAAAAGCTAGTAGTAAAAAAATTCTACATTCATAGCAGGCATAGGTCAAAAAAGTCAAGATGGTGACTGTGACAGCATAATCAAGCCCCAAATCCCTTTTTACATAGTCTTGTGCATAACATACATAAAGCAGGTGGAGGCTACAACTGTGCAACCATAGCTGCTATTTTGACTATTTTGATTTTGCACTGTGGATTCCCCTGACCTATAACATAAGCCCAACTTCACGAATTTCAACAAAGAGAAACATATCAATTTATCATCTATCAGTTCAACTATCAGTCTTGACTCCTCTTCCATTTCAAACAGGTGAATCATCTTTTATACTTTTGAAAGTTGGAATGTATATTTATCCATACAGTATATCCTGACAAGTCGCAGTTTTAAGAATAGTTGCAAAGGAGCAACACAGATCAAATGAGTAGGAAAAAAAGAAAGAAAGAAATGTTTAGCCATAATATTCCTGGGTATCAGGCAATAGTTGCCCTCCATAACAGGAGATTCGCACTTCAAGCAGCATTAACACACACACATACACAATTCAGTAGGATTTCTAAGAACTTGTTTTGGAATGTAAGACACTCAGCAGAATCCAAAATGTAGTTTCTGTAATTCTCAATCAGCATATTTGTACATATCTCTGACTGCACCAATTAATGTACTTAAAAACCAGCTCTATCTATCTAATGATTAGTCCAAAAGGGTAAAGAACAGAACCCAATGTTTATATAAGTGACATTTAAATAGTTCTAGGCTGCTGGATTCCTTAATGAAATCTGAAGTGGAAAAAATTTATCTGAATGGTAGGTGCTGATTGTTCCCGTCCTGTCATTGCAGTATGCAGCCACAGGAAAATATTAGATCTTATGCAGTGGTAATGAAGTTCCTCAAACCTGGCCTGGACGGGGCATCAAAATGTATGAAAATGAAATATGCTTTAGGCACTTTCGGAGATATCAACATATGTAGCTCTTTATGTGGCACAGAAATTGATGCTAAAATGGCAGAGTAGCTAAAAATAAGATAAACAAAACACAGCCAGCCACAAGCCAACAGTTCAAAAAATGTAGCTTTTAGTTGGTTCTAACAACACTTTTTATAAGATACATATAACAGGATGTCCTTTCTTATCTGATCATACTTGATCAAAACCAAATCTCTTCTGGTTTCAGTATAATATACATCCTCTTAAAAATATACAAGATTTTAAACACATTACAACTGCAAATAAATTATCTAGCCCACAAACATGTTAACAGGCTGCCTGTTCATGCACTGTTCATAAACTGAATGTCAGTATATAAAATATCAACAAAAGCTTTTTCAATGGAAAAACATTTCATTTGCCGCAAGGGAATGGGCACTTCCAGAGTTAGTTCTGTGCAAACAACTTTGTACATAGAAAAAGACATAACTTAATCTATTTTATGAATTGCTCAAGAAATGCAACAGCAAACATTTATATAGCAGACCTTTGACTCAAAAGAATCTGGATTGCCTTCCATTTTGGAGCTAGACAAGGTCCCAATTCTCATAGACAGAATTCCTCACCTTGTCATGTACTGAGAGGACAGCCACTGCATTGTTTTCTTGTCCTGGAAAATCCTTTCTCTTGTTGTTGCTACTGGATAGAGGGTATACGGACAGGCAACAGAGTGGGTGACAAAACATGGTTTGCCAACCGAGTTCTCTCTATACAGAGCTTTCACTAGAGAGCAAACTATTTTTCTTTGGTGCTGTAGATTTAGGTGCCCTAAACTACAATTCCATCTCAGGTGACTGGGATTGTGGTATTTGCAGTCAAACATTTGAAGAGTATAAAGTTGCCTGTCCCTAGAACAATGCAGTGTCCACTTGTGGAACTAATCCACATAAATGAAAACACAGCCATCAGTTATTTGGATGGGAGTGATCCTTTAAAAATAAAGCAGCCTACACAGTCACCAGCATTTGGCAAAGTATCCAGTGTTAACAACCCTGCTTCTAAAGCCTTCCACCTTCCCAGTTCAACTCCACCCCAAGGGAATTTGACAGTGACCAAACATACAGTTTCTGCTTAGCTAAAAGGCATGCATCCCTAGGTGACAAATGCAACTTCAACCCCAACGGCAAACCCAATTCCTGTCTACAGTATTTCCTCAAATCATCAAGATGGAGGGAGGGGAAGGCGAGGGGATAACTCTCCAGAATTCAGTACCCTTTGTGAGCACACTACAGGCAGCCTTTCAGACATGCTTTAACAAATGCGGCCCAGTCAGTGAGAAAGTCCTCAGCTTGGAAATGTCATCTGTTTGTCAAGGCAGAAAAAGAAAATTCAGCAGGCATCTCTTTGCTTACTCTGGCTAGAGCTGACCTCTACTCTTATAATCATTAAGTTTACATGAGCTCTGCTCACTACTGGACCCTTAACTAAAAAACAATGTGACCTTGGGCAAGACCAGGCCTTTACATTTCAAGGAATCTCACCTGTATAATAATAATAATAATAATAATAATAATAATAATAATAATAATAATAATAATAATAATAACCCTTTCAGGTCTCATCCCTGGAAGAGAGGAGGAAGGCAAGCTTTTGCATGGCATGGAACTTGTAAATTGTGAGGTCACGAATTAACACAATAGTTGAGGTAGAAAAAGCAGCTCTGAAGTACAGCCCTTGAAAGGTAGGCTGATAGGTATTAGTACTTTTAAAAAAAAAAAAATATCTCCCCCCCAATTTGGGGGGGGGAAGCTGTCAGTTGCAATAAAAGAGAATGTGTGTGTATATGTATTTATGTGTGTATGTATACATGTATATGTATGTGTATGTGTATATGTATATGTATGTATGTATGTCAAGGTTGAACATTGGTGGTCTCTGAGCTTGGCTGTCATTTTACAGGCATTTCAGTAACTTTTTCGCTGCATTCAATGCCTAGAAAGATTACACGGTATAGGAATGAAATATTCTACAAAATAAAAGCCAAGCTCAGAGACATCACAAACAAACAAAACTGCCAGGTTTTTACACAGCTATTCAGTAGCAGGAATGAAAGACTAGGCCCAATAGCCTTGGAGTCACAACGAGAGATGTGAAACAAAGAGAGAAGGAGGGGGCTTGGGACGAGAAACAATGGCTTGAGGAAAAAGGGCCCTCTGGGAGAGAAAAGCTGTCAAATTTCTTTGCAAGCTTCCTGATCCCAGTCACATCTATATTCTCCTCCTCTCCCACATATCCCAGAGATACCCGCCAAAATCCCAACCCCTCATTTTCTAGTACTTCACCACCTTCAAGAGCATAGCAGCGGAGGGTGAAAATTTTCTCCCATTCTTTATCCAAGGAGAGAAAAGGTATGCACTTAAGTTCATGCTTGCTTGACCAATAATGCTGCAAAAAAATAATCCCTCTGCCACCCTGAGAGAGAGGGGAGCGACCTTTGCTCACCTGCCAGCTCGCCTGCATTATTTTAGGAGGTTTGACAGGTAGATACATAGACAACTCTGTGGGTAAACTGTTACCTAAAATACCCCCGGTGTGTATATGGTGTCTGTTGCACGCATTTCTCCTAAAATTCCTCCCCCACTAAAAGAAGCTATCATGCTCCCCCTCCTTTAACACATAAACCATCCTTCAGGCAACACCCCTGCTGCAAAGCCAGCTGACAACACACAAAGAAGGGACTCACTGCTGCAGCTGCTGTGGCGGTTGTCTGAATATGCAGATGGACTCTGATCAAAATGCGCCACATTAGGGATGAATATGATCACCCTTTAAAAAAATAAAAAATAAATAAAAAGGAAAAGGCGAGCCATTCGGCCAACCGAAGCAGAAAGCGCGCTGGAGCAAAGCCCACCACCCTCTTTTGCTCGCGCCCCATTTCCCTCCCCCCCACGCTCCCAGACTTTTAGTAAAGGCACCCCTATTTTGCAATCGGCGCTCCCCAGCTCAGCAACCCACCATAGCGGAACATCCAAGGATGGCAGGAACGGTCCGTCCATCGAAGCTGCAGCTGCTGCGTGCAAAGACGACGTGGGAAAAGGGGGTGGAAGACGGGATGGGGGAGGGAGAGGTAGGCGACAACCAGAATGGCGAGTATCGAGAAAACGGGGCTGACGAGGCGATCTATGGCGCGTCCAAGAACGCGTGCCGGTGCCGCCGCCGCCGCCGCTCTGCTCAAGGTCTCCCTCCCTGCCAAGTAGCGGCAGCGGCAGCAGCAGCAGCAGCCATCGCCGGACGCATCACGTGGCGCCGCTTGTTGCTGGAATGATGGCCATAGCCATAGCAACCACGCACCGGGATGGCGGAGGAGGGAGCGCTGCTTGGGCGCGGAATGTTGTAGGCGACCGGAGGCTTCGGCTTTTCTCTTTGCGCAAAGAGGAGGCAGCGGCCACCCCGACCGCGCCGCTCGCGCTCCTCCTGCGTTCTGCTTGGTTGCCATTCGAGAGGCTGGCGGGATATAAAAACCAAGGAAGGTTCAGCTCTCGGCTCGAGCAGCGGCTGTTCCCGCGTTAAGTCCCTTCCCGTTCAGGTTCTCTTCCCCCGCTTGCTTGAAAGTGAATGAATTGGTGTGGCTTAGTAGGTCAAGTGCAATGAAGTTCCAGTGGTGTTTGGCTGGGATTCACGTTTTACAGCTAAGTGGCGCAGGCCTCCCTTTAGACTAGAGACCTGTGCTGGGGGACTCAGAAACCGGTCGCATTCTAGCCCATGTCGTTTGGGCTGTATGGATTGCTAAAATGGTTGGAGTCTTAAGAACAGCCAGTCTTCACGTACATTAATTAGATCCAGAAAACCCCTTTTTCTTTCCAAACAGGATGACCTTGGTAAGTGGAATAATTAAATTCCCTATAAAACAGGAAGCAGAGAGATAGATGGTGGGCAGGCAAAGAGAACAAGGTTTTCCAATTGGCAAACAATTAAAATGCTCATTTATAGTTATTTTAACTGCAAGGATCCTTATCTGTAATAAAGATGTAAATGCACACATTCAGGATTGAGGTCACTATTCACTCCCCCCTGTCCCCCCAAGCTCCAGTTGGTAGACTTCACACAATAGAAATCTTACAAGACCAAAGTTGACTCCTTCCATAATGGGAGATTATTAATATTATTTCCCTACTGAAGATGTGAGTCATGGACCACAGCAGCTTATTCAGGGCTGTGTAGCAACTCCTAGGATGGAGCAAGATTCAAATAGCTGACGGAGTGGGGAATTATGCTCCATTTTATCACACCATTTCTCATGCTTACCATAAACATTCAAGAACTAAAAAGATGGGCTATAATTCTATCCCAAGGAAATTTAGATAGTGTGTTGATAAAGCTCCATGGAAGAACAATTTTGCAAAGATCCCAGGGCAATAAATACTTATTAAAATAAGCATCTTGTTGATAATCTGCTTTATATAACAGTTAATGAAAAGAAAGTCTGCTTTGTTGACATTGCTATACCAGGTGATGCTTGAATTGAGGAAAAACAGTTGGAAAGAAATTATAAAATGTTGGGACTTGCAGATTGAAGTTTGATTGAATACCTGTGGAAAAAGAAATCCATTCTTCTAACAATCATGATTGGAACCCTCAGAACAATACCTAAAGAACTCCCTCGATATATAGATATATTGAACTTATCAGACTTGAACACCCTAATTTTTACCAAAAGCCACCCTGCTTGACACTGCAGATTCTTAGGCGCTACCCTAATCATTCTAGGTCCTTGATTGAGACTTGAATTGTTAAGTTTTCACCAATCTTAACTGTGACTCTAACCGCAAATTATCCACACATAATAATAGTTATCCAATTTAGGAATCTTTTGCATCTCAAAAGATCAGTGAATTGAAATGATCTTAATCCTTTTAGATAAAGACTGTCTTGACGCTAAACTGTAGAAATAATACTACCAGTAGTAGACAGGTAAGGATTGGAAATTCTTTTTGTGTGCAGTCTTGGTTAAGGATAGAATTCACGGCTGACTTCTGATCAGTTTCTATAGGAATGGTGAAACTTGGATAATTAAACAAGCAATTAAGAAGCACGAATCCTGCCAAATTGCTGTCATCTTCTTTATAAATCAAGCCAGCTAGGAATAAGATCTCCTGCTAGTGAAGAGGGCAAACCAGACAAAACATAATGTCTACAGTTTTGTTTCAAAGTAACCCTGGTTCATCTGGCCAAAATCATAACATTCTTGTCTGATTTCCCCCCCTCCCCCCGAAGTTTGGATAATTTTTTCCCTTGAAAGTTCAGAAATGTTATAAGTAAAAATAATTGACATAATAATTTCAATTCAAAAAGCTGTGAAGGGCCGAGGAAAGTCTTTTATTCTTTCAAACACAGAGTTCATCCTTCTACCCTGCTAGGTTAGCAGAATACAACAGCACAGCTGGGCATTTCATACAGACAACTTTTGGTTCAATAATTTATTTTTAGCCATACAAGAGTAAACCAGAAATACACATTGTATACAATTACAAAACACTGAAAGAGGCTGGAAGGAAGACAACCCCACAGCATAAATGTATCTCCATGGCACAGCCTTTAGTGTGCTGGGAGCTGAAACGGCATCAGTCCCAGCACACCACTAATGGGCAGAAGGGGAAAACATGAAAAACCATCAAGTAGCCTCTGTGTTTCAGATCCAGAGCAGCAAACTGAGTAGCACTGTACCCTGGACCATCGCCAGGTAGGTAATACTAGACCTTGATTTTGCTGAACTGTAATTCCCAGCATTCCTCATAAATGCTCATAGAGGGCTGGAGTTATTGGGAATTATAGTTCAGAGACAGTTGGAGTGTGACCGCTTCCCCATGCTGCTAGGACAGCTACTAGAGAATGCGAGATCTCTTAACCAAGCCAAAAATAAATGAGTAATGATTTTTTAATTTATCCAGTTCCTTGTCTGTCTGCATTCTTCATTGCACTAGAGGAAATATCATTTAATTTATCCAGTTCCTTGTCTGCATTCCTTGCTTTGCTAAATGAACTATCTCTAAGAGTTCCCATTCTGGTGAATAAAAAGGGATATTTTTTTTAATGCTTCTGCTAGTTTATAGCAGTTTCCTCCTTCACTTAAGAGGCTTTTTGAACAACCACTGAGACAGTCATTTTCTCAAAATACACTGGTTTGCCAATTTGATACATAGAAGAAACATATTGAGCCATTATGCACAGGCAGATAGATGCTGCTTCTCGTAGCATCCTGAAGCTGGGAGTGATAAATGAGGCTTGGTCTGATTCCCACTTCAAAACGGAGATGTTTATGATTGGATAGGGTAACATACTCTTATTGGTCATGGTATTGATGCTGCTGGCGGTTCACCAACATTTGAGGCTTGCTTTAATTTTAATGTTAAAGCTTTACGACCTAAATGGCGAGGACTTTCATCCTTAGCATTTCTCAGCAGCTTTCAAATTTATTATACTGTGGTAAATCATGGGTAGCTTAGATATACCTTAGGCCCTTTTGTGGGTTACGCCCACTCAGTCTGGGTTGTGTGGCCAATAGACACCCCTATATACCCCAAAGATTAGAGTTATTGTGTCCTCCCAATCTCCCTCTGATAAGGGAGACACAGAAAAGCTCCACAGTTATGTAGAACAGGGATTCAGATGACAGTGCTATTATTATTCAGGAATTTACTCCAAATGTATTTAGCAGGTACAAACCCTGCTTCAACTCTTACTCTCAGCTAGAAAAGGGAAGGGAAAAGGATGCAAGATAGCAATGAACCTAAAAGAATTTTTCTCATTAACAGCAACATGCGGGGCACAAAATTTCTAGAACCTGCAATTGTACCTGGAAAAGAGCTTAAGGGGTACTGGATTCAGTGCTGGGCCCTTTTCTTTAGCAGGAGAGATTTCCTTTATTGACAATAGGACTAGATCAGAGCAAAACTATTCACAAGAATGGGGCACAGTGCAGTCTTCTATTAAAGGTTGTGTATAGAGGGGTGGTAGAAAAGGTATACAACTGGCACATGGCTTTGAAACAGGCAGTACAGTGGGATATCATATGATATAATATTTGATTGTGTAAATGGGGAAGATTCCCTTCAATCTCCTCCTTCCAAGGCACGACTAACTTCGTATTGCATATTATTCTATTTCAACATTGTCCTGCTCTAAATGATGTAACACTGATACTATTTAACGGAAAGGAAGAAGTCAGTGTTTAGATAAAAATCAGCCACTCCTCTTCCTCCTGCACGGAAGGAGAAGCAGCTTCCCAAAGCATTCATACCCAGTTTCTTTGGTACTCTGGATCATTTCTCACCCCAACAGAAGATCAGAGTTAAGGCACTTGGTTCAGCAGCCGTCGCTCAGTTGCGAGAGTGGGACTCATCTGAAGTCAGCCCAATTCTCCTGCTGATCCCAGAATAGCAGGATGAAAACTATCCTGCTTATGGAGAATCAGGGAGCAGGGTGAGTGACAACAACACAGCTGCTGAAAAGGTTTTGACTTGGGCCAACAAGACCTAACGAAAAACTGTTAAGCAAATATATTGGTGACAAAGTCCAGAAAGCGCTTGGCGTATTGCTCTGGATGCACTGTAGAGATCTCTGCACCAGCCTGTAGGGGAAGAAAAAGTGTCAACAACCACCACAAATCAGCCCCCCTTAATTCTTAATCACTATAGTGAAAGCAGTATGGCACAGGCCACGAATACTGGAGACAGTGGGGATATATGGTAGTACCCGAGTCCCAAAACGACTACTTCCATCAGAGCCAATCAGGAGTAGTGGTTAAGGTGCAGGTCTAAAACCTTGGAGGTCATGGGTTCTAATCCTTAGGCATGAAAACCAGCTGGGTAACTTTGGGCCAGTCTCTCAGCCCAACCCACTTCATAGACTTGTTATTGAGGGGAAAACAGGAAGACAGGCCATTCGGTATGCCTTGAGTTGTACAAAATAAAGGTCAGATATATATCTAAAACTAAAATGTATTGATCAGCTGCTATTAACGTGCATGTTCGCCACTGCAAATATTTCTAACCCAGTGGAACATCCCTCTTGCTTCTACTCTTGAATACATTATATCTACTCCTTGCCATCTTCCCCTCAAGGAAACGTCCTTGTACTTAGAAAACATAAAAGCCATTGCCCCAATGGTACAATAAAAATAACTCTTCTCTGAATGACCCACAGCAAATAGCATTTAAAAAAAATTCTATTGAGGGTAGTGCAGGTCTTCTTGCCACTGACACACTTTCTCCACACCTCACTTCCTTCCTTGCTTCTAGACTGTAGCTACAAAACTCGCATCGGTTGTATTCTTCAGGACAAAACCACTCTTTTAGAAGCTAAAAACAAAAAGTATCAAGAGTTATCTCAGATAACTCAAACAACAAAACCTCAACTTCAACCTGTCCCTGCTCCGTGGGGTGGTCATCATGCACTGCCAATGGCTAGACTGGTTGGGTTCGTGATTTCTTCTCTGTTGCTCTCTCATAATAATAAGAGATTGTAAATTCCTGCTGTTCCCAAGCACAGAGCAAGACCCTGGAACAGCTCCTATCTATAGGAAAGGCCATAGTTATGCCTTCTATATCACATGGCGATGATGCAGTATAACCCGCTTGAGACGGGACAGCTTTTGGCCACTCAGAAGGAGAAAGTAATGGCGAAGCAAGAAAAAAGTAGCTATTTGGATCAGAAAAAAAGGCAGAAATAATGGACATGGGAAGGGAAAACAAGAGGCTGGGTGCTGGCCAGCTAATCAGGATCATGGCCCCCTTTTAGCATTGTTTGATCACCATAACAGACAGGGTGGCAAGCCAAACTCACCCCATGCTTGACTGTCTTAGCTGCGTGGGCAGCCTTCTTCTTGGCATCGTACTGTGTGAGGATGTCTATGAGGCCCATGAAGTAAATCTCTTTTTGGGGGCTATCTGGAAAAGTAGGAGAAAACAGTGAAGGATATATCTGATGCCATATTTTACTTGCATCCCCCTTCCATGCAAATATCCATAGGCAAACCCAAAAGATGAACAACAATGACGACAACAACAACAAACGAGCACAGAAAATACATAAGCAAAAAGAGTGGTCGTACAGAGTTGAGGCAGGAAAAAGAGATTTCTTTCCTGAATCAAAATATAGCAAACCAATCCCCGAGTATTTCATTTGAGCAATCACTTTCTTTAGGTTCATAGGCTGGTCTAAGACCTTAATAAAGTTTATGTATGCTTCTTTATATTCACTTCTGTGCAGCCTGCATTGCAAATTCAAACCTGTAGCAATATGCAAAAAATATTAAAGACAATTCTGGCTATTAAACCTTATCTTCTTTCTGAGAAGCTGATATCTAGATCTGATTGACGTGTAACCTCCCATAAATAAAGAGGTTACAAAAGCTGGTGCACTGAAGAAAGCATCCTGGTACAAATAGCTAAATACAGGTGGTAGTCCTCAACTTAACCACCACAGTTGAGCCCCAAATTTATGTTGCTTAGCAAGACAGTTGTTAAGTGAATTTTCCCGTTTTACAACTTTTCTTGTCACAGTTGTTATGTGAATCACTACAGTTGCTATGTTAGCAACTCGGTTGTTAAGTGAATCTGGCTTCCCTATTAACTTTGCTTGTCAGAAGGTCACAAAAGGTGATGACCCCAGGACAGTGCAACCCTCATAAGTATGAGCCACTTATCAAGTGGCTGAATTTTGATCCTGTGACCATAAGGATGCTACAACAGTCGTGTGAAAAACGGTCACAAGTCACGTTTTTTAAGTGAATGGTCGTAAGTTGAAGACTACCTGTAAAACTAGCCACAGGCACTGAGAAAATTGAGAGGACCTGATATTGCAGCTAGAATCTACCACAAGGCATACATACATCTTTGATATCATAGTAACAGAATCCTTTTATGAGTTTGATGGAGTTCGGTGGAACTCATAACAACTCATATGTTGTTCATAGTATGTTTAGGCATGCGTCATGTATGTGTTTCACTTTGAGAGCGGGCAACTAAATTTCATTTTTGATGTGTGCCGTTGTGCCCACAATAAAAAAATGACAATAAAGGTATCTTTTCAATCTAGTACAATCTGGAAACTCTGGAGTATAACTCCCCCAAATGCCCATTCAGCGTCACCTTTGACAGACCAGCTGAGAATTACAGGAGCTGTAGTACAATTTACCTGGAGGGGCCAGCTTGAGAAATAGTAGTCTAGTATTTTGGAATAACAAAGGGAACTCCTTCACAAAACCCTGCTTAAACTAGACTGGCCATCAGTTTTAATCAGATGTAACTCAGTTATCTTTTGTGTATACCTTTCAAGATTGTGAGCTAGGAGGAGATTCCATTGCTTGAAATTTATTGTATCTACTGATTATATTAGATATTTAGCTAAGGGTTAAATTTTTTTAGCCCCAATCCTTGCTAGTTAATTACTCCTAGGCAAATTGGATGAATGATTTGATTCAATGTAAGGCTGTTTCTGATATTTCTGGCTGGCTGTAATCACACACGACAAATAAAGAACTGACTTTTGCACTCTGGAGTGTTCTCTGGAATTGATTAAAGGCAAAAATTTCTTGATATACTAAGAAAGAGTCACAAATGCTACTAAATATCATGATGCAGATTCTGGTGTACAAAATGCTGCAAAAAAAAAAAATTAAAAGGCCTGAAGGCTCTTTTCTATCCATTTAAACACCCATTTAATAAAATTTTCATCTTATCCCAACTTACTTTCAGCACTCTTAGTGGCATAGACATCAATATAAGGGTCAAAGTCACCAGGTTCCAGCGGTTTGTGGGAATTCAGATAACTGCCAATGCCCTCAGGATACGTTCCATAGGAGCCCACAGATACCATTCCCCCCGGTTCACCCTCTCCATCTTCCTCTTCCTCTTTTATGTCTTCCTCTTCTTCTTGTTCAGCTCGCTGTACATCATGGATACCCAACAGAAGGCTGTAGTCCATAATCTTTAGCTGCACTAGGAACTGAAGAAATAAACACACTAGTGAGATGGCTGGGAGATGTACATATTGGTCTCATTATTAGTCCAAGTGAAAGTCCCACTACACAAACTCATGAAACAGTTTATTCCATATTTTATAAATTGCGAAGCTGTTTATCACTTCAGACTCTTTTGCATTTGCACAAGGTTCTGTCTGTGTCCTTTCCATTATATTTTATTTGAGGACAGTCAGAATGCTTAAGATCCCATGATCCCTTAATGGGGAAAGTGGAAAGGTCATTTCAATAAACTCTTGACTGCTCCCTCAGCGGCTAAAGCAGTTTCCCTGGCCAAAACATATATCGCCAACCTGGCAGGAAATACTGCTTTGACATATAGCAAGCTGCAGTTTCAGAAGGAAACTTATACTTAATTCAGTAAGCTACTATTCATCCTGGAGGGGACTGTATTCTAAAGAATCAGATATTTAGCCTATGGGGAATTATAGAGCTGAATGCCTTCACTGATACTACCTTTTATTAGTTTAGACTGAGGTACCATCTTTGACTTAACCTCTTTGCAATAGTTATTCCTTCTCCCATATTTTCTATTCAAGGATTAAAGTCATTATCAGAGATGCTTTCCTTTATTCTTCAGGACAATAGGCAACCGAACAGAAAAGATATACATTTATATATGTATATGTTTTTCTAACATAATTGTTATTACTGTTGTTCTTAATATGTATATATGAGCACTTAGGGAACTTTGCTGATGGTAGGTTCAAAAATAATACACATATTATACTTCGATAATTCTTGCTTAATTGCATGCCCCTTCTGGCTCTATGAGATCAAAAAAGAGTGATTAAAATACCACAGAGAACTTCCCAGGTTCAAAAAGTTATCTATAACCTTCAGCCTTATGAGCAATGTGTGCTTTCCAACAAGCCCATGTTAAAATCAAGCTTTATGCTGTTGGAGGCATCAGTCACAACAGTGATTCTACTACTATTTTAGTCAATTGTTAGTTTAGCTCAAATGAAGCCTGAAATAGCATGTTTCAACATAGCTTCAAAATAAACACAAACTTTAAAGGTAGGCTTTCTCCAAACTAGGGCCATCCAAATAAAGCTGGTTTACTCATGCTGGCTGGGAGTAACAGAAGATTTCATTCATTTTGAGAGCATGTTTTGGGTGCTCCGTGAAAATCACCATTCAATTGCTCATTCACTAAATGGCTATTGAGAGGGGGCAATGTATGGTCACTAATGCCCAATTTGCAAACGGGTGATCCTGTTCTGTGTTTACTATCAACCTGTGGTTTATTTTTTTCCTAGGCAGGTGGGCAAATTTATAAATAGGTACTTCTGTTACACAGACATTCCATATTTATTCTCTAACATTATCCCAGGAATCTGTGAGGAACTCAAGGTTATTCGGGGAAATAAAAAAAATGTTCAGCATTGATTGTTTGTACCACATTAGTTTCCCTTTAAAAATGTTTAGATTTAAATAAGGGTTTTTTTTTAAGTAGAATGATCTGTAAGGGAGATATCCATGGGCAACTAACATCAAGGAGATCATACGAAATTAAGTAAAATGGATCCAATATATCTGGGCAGTTGGTATTACTGGCTTGCCTAAGGCTTCCCTGCAAACTTTGTAGGCAACTAGGCATCTGAATTTCATCCAAACCCAGTTTGTTATTTCAGCATCTCAAAGATTAGAGCCAAGACTTTAACTCTCAAGTGTTGTAAAAACCCTTTCTTCAATCTAAGACAACTCAAATTAGTTTCCTATTCTGGATTGCAATATCCTCAGCAATACTAGGCCATAATGTAGATCAGTGCAATCTACTTTCCACACCTAATTCCCTTGCAATTTGTATACCAAGATTTGTCACTCAACATGTCCAGCACTGTAATTTATGCAATGAACTGCAGTTAAAACATACCCAATTCTTTGCGTACAAAAAGTAGTTCAATAATATATCATGATTATTTTCCTTGCACTGGCCCTTACTATATTTTGAAATAATCTGGTAAGAAACAAACCAGTTTGCTTAGGCCCAAAAACTCCAAATTCACCAGACGGTAATCTGATTATTAACCTAGAATCTTAACTGATAAATACACCTTAAACCATATGTTGTGTCATGTTAAAAGTTAAATACTCAAGCTATCGTGCATGTATAGATTCATCTAGCCCAGTGGTTCTCAACCTGTGGGTCGGGACCCTATTTGGGGTCGAACGACCATTTCACGGGGGTCGCCCAACAAGGCTGTCTGCCATTTTTTTCCCTTTTCTTTGGCCACGCCCCTGGCACCCGGTGATGTATAAGTGGTTGGGGGTCACCACAACATGGGGAACTGTATTATGGGGTTGCGGCATTAGAAAGGTTGAGAACCACTGATCTAGCCGCTGTGACAGCAAAATCAGAATTTACCCTGCATTTACCCTGAATTCAAACAAGCCTTTAAAGGGAGTCCGGTTTTAATCTGAAGATGGCATGTGCTGGGGGAAAACTCCCCCTTTGGCAACCTGTCCCCATGATTAATTGATTTGGCTGTTCAAACCAGTGGGCCAACTTTCCAAATGGAATGCATCCAGCTTTAATTCTCAGACCTGAGCCCTTTTCTATAACTAGAACGATTAATTTTTTTAAACAAGCCTTTTCTTTCCCATCCTGTGGAATCAGAAAAAACCCCTAACCCAACCCCTCTCAAGAGTATTGGCACAATGGCAGTTACAAAGGTCATGCAAAGACAACACAATAGCAATGAAAAGAATTTAAAGAACTGTCTGAAACTCAGAAATTGGATACATATTAGGTCATCCTGGCTTCAAGAACCAGAAGCTGGGTTTTTTTTTTTTTTTTGGTGAACATTTGCTTCCATTACTCAAAGATGTAAAACAATCTTCTAAGAGAAACGAAATCACAGAAGATTCTTCCATAAACAAATATTTGACATTTATCAAATGTTTTCATTTGATCAAAGCATCTGTGTGATTCCATACAATTACTATTGAATTATAATTCAATAATGCTATCATGAATTAGTTTACTCTTCTACCATATGACAGAAGTAAGATTAAGACTAAAAAATCTAGAATAATCTCGGGAAAGGCATCACTTCAAAAACCTGGAATTTTTAACTAGAGACTTCTCAGATCAGAGTTCATGTTTTCAACCAAGATATTCAGCAGTCAAAGTGAAAAAGAATCATAGAGTGGAAACGACGTTTAAACCCACTGAATCCAACCTTGTGCAAAAGTGCAGGAATTTAAATTAAAGCAACCCCAACAAATGAGAGCTAGTATGGTTTAGTGGCTAAGGCACCAGGCTAGAAAGCAAGAGAACATGAGTTCAAGTTCAACCTTAGCTATGAACGCCAGCTGGGAGACCTTGGGCCAGTCACTAACTCTCAGCCTAGCTCACCTTACAGGCTTTTTGATGTGGGGAAAATAGGAGAAGGAAGGTGTGTTGGATATGTTGGCTGCCTTGTGTTATTTTTAAAAAATAATAAAAGAGGGTGGGTGGATGGATGGATGGATGGATGGAGATAGATAGATAGATAGATAGATAGATAGATAGATAGATAGATAGATAGATAGATAGATAGATAGGTGATAGATAGATAGATAGATGCTGAGCAAGTCCAGTAAAAGAGAATTCAACCTCTCCTTGGGTAATTACTATGGAACTGTATCTTTATTGTTGTTTGCCAGTAAAATCCATCACTTCGTGTCCTGCACTCTTGAATAATGGAGATCAATCTTGGCCTCCTCCTGTGTGGCATCTATTCAGGTACTTGAAGATTACTGTCATATCTCCCCTTCAATTCTTTCAATCTATCTTCACAGGACTTCCTCCCCTCCTTTAGGTCATTAAACTCATTTAGATCAATCATCCTCACATCTCAGTCTAACTATCTCATAGAACTGTATGCATATGGTATAGCCTTTTCCTCCTGCAGGATAAAAACATTAAGCAACCTAATTAATGAACAGAACAGAGATTTTACTCCATTCCGCCTCTTCTTTCTTTACAGCCATCAGGGGGAAAAAAAAAGCTTATTGCTAAAAGCATATTTTCAACTTTCCCAAGAATCGCATGTCACATTATTTCAGCCATTTTTATAACAAGGCTGCCAGACTGAGAGCAAGCGTGGAGTTGTACTTAAGAGTACAGAACTAGGGACAGAACAGACACAAATTCAAATCCCCATGTAGTCATAAAGCTCACTAAGGTTTGTGAACCTGTCAATAATATCTCACAGAAGCATTTGAGCAGGTAGCAAAGAAGGGAGAGAAAAGCCCCAGTGTATTACTGACGATTTCCAGGAATTAAAGCCAAGCTATTGAATAAACAAGACATAATACAATAAAATTGCTCCTAATATTATATTGTAGAGTGGATACCAAGAGATTATTATGTGCAGCTTTCTCAATCTGGTTTCCTCCTGGTGTGCTGTTACTAAAACACACAGAGATTCCAGCTAGTGGCCATGCTGAGCTTTCTAAGTGCTGCAGCCTTAATCTTTCTGGAGCTGGAGACATCAAGTTCAGGAGATTGATGAGTACTCGTGGCTGAAGTACAATGTAGTTGTTAATGTGCTGGTCTGGAAATCAGGAGATGGTGAATTCTAGCCCCATTTTAGCTGTGAAAGCCAGCTGGGTGACTTTGGGCAAGTCAATCTCTGCCAGCCCAATCCACCTCACAGGGTTGTCATGGTGGGAAAAATAGGAATAGAATAGAACAGAATACAATAGAGCTGGAAGGGACCTTGGAGGTCTTCTAGTCCAGCCCCCGGCTCGAGCAGGAGAACCTAGACCATTTCAGACAAGTGACTGTCGAATCTCTTCTTAAAAACCTCCAGTGATGGAGTGCCCACGATTTCGGAAGGCAAACTGTTCCATTGGTTAATTGTCCTCACCTGTCAGAATCCAATTATATTTCATCTCTAGTTATCGACTATGGAAAACCCCATTTCTGCCCTCTCTGGATTCTGTCATACGATGAAGGGGAAGGGGGGTGAAC